TTAAATCTCAGAGCCCAGGCTTGACACCCATTTCAATGTAGAGATTATTTGAGAGACTCAGTGGTGAAATAGAAAGACCACATGCTTGAGTATTAAAAAGATGGCATTGCACATCACTGATTTGCCAATTATTGTGAACTTCAAGCCTCATAACCTCCTTGAGCCTTCTGGTCCATAAAATGAGAGTGATAATATATATTTCATAGAGTTGTTTGTGAGAATGAAATAAAATGATGTACATAAGATGCTGGTCTATAAGCAGCAGGTATTTAAGAAGTGGTGATTTCTTTTATCATTGTAAGAATCTATCTATCTATCTATACTAATAAAAGGGTAATATGCTAATTAGACTGGGAGACCTTCCTGGAGACCTTCTGGACATCCTTCCAGACAAAGCCATGGTGGCGGAGCCGAGGCAGAGGCGGTTAGGGGCGATCAGGCCAGGAGGGGAGGGCAGTTGGGGGCGAGCAGGCCAGCAGGGGGGGCCAGTTGGGGGTGAGCAGGCTGGCGGGGGGGGCAGTTGGGGGCGATCAGGCCAGAGGGGGTGGCAGTTGGGGGTGAGCAGGCTGGCGGGGGCAGGGCAGTTGAGGGTGAGCAGGTCGGCAGGCAGAGTGGTTAGGGGCGATCAGGCAGGCAGGCAGGTGAGCAGTTAGGAGCCAGTGGTCCCAGATTGGAGAGGGTGCAGGCCGGGCTGAGGCCCCCCTCCCCATGCATGAATTTCATGCACCGGGCCACTAGTACTATATAAAAGGCTAAGTGACTGTCTGCCCGACTGGTAGCTATGACGTGCACTGACCATCAGGAGGCAGACACTCAATGCAGTAGCTGCCATGATGCACACTGGCCATTTAAAAATAGATGGCACCACGGACCTGGCGCCAACAAATCAACACTTGGCTTCCTCCAAGTGGGACACAGGACCCGCCATCACCCCAGAGCGACACCCCACCAAATCGCAGCCAATGCTGCCAAGACCCCATGGCACAAAATGTGGCCCACAGCCCAGCCCAGCCCGGAAACGGTGGCTGTGGGCGCCGGGTAATGACGTTGTGTAGCAAGGCCTGGCTTCTTCTCCCTAGCAACTAGCATCCTTGGAGTTTCTTCAGCCCAGGAACCCAACTTGCTTTATAGCCAGGTGCAAACATTTTACAGTTCAACCAAGTGTTTGTGAAGTGTTTTCCCGTGCCTCATCTCATTTGATCTGCACAGAAGTCCTGGAGGAGGTAGATAGGAGACTCAGTAGAATCCTATTTTCTTTTCATTAGCAAGATGCGAATAGCGATATTAAAATATTTCTTCTAATTAATTTCCTTTCAATGTGCACAAATCCTTGCACCGGGACACTAGTAGCAATATAGAGTAACAGCATACCTATAAATCATCCCACAACGTGGCCCCTCCCTGGAGAAGCATGTATGGCTAACCTAGGCATGTCTGTTTGGCAATGAAATGAAACTCATCAATGAAAAGTTAATTTCTGAAACAGCCCCTTTTGTGAATAGCTGTCTGCACAGGGGCTTATCTCCTGAGCAGAAACCCCGGGGATGTGCTGTGGGGTGGCTGGAGAGACTCCATGTGTGCTGGATACCTCCAGAGGTTGTCCAAGCACACTGCAGAGAAGTACACAGCAGAAGCAATGAGGACCTTAAGTCAATACCAACAGATTTGGTTCTTTTTCTTCTTTCCTTCCCCTTCCACTGGCCCAATATTTCTCTATAGTCTCAGAACACAGGCACTGATTATAATAAGTCTACAGGCAAATTAGCCTCTCTCAGTTGTAGTCTTTCCTTCCCTAGAGTGGAGATTACTGCCCAGGGTAGATCTGAGGAGCAAATGGGGTACTGCATTTGAAAGTGCCTACTATGATATCCAAGAAGAGTGGACACCACCTACTACTGAGTTTCTTTTGGGAACCTCTCCAAGGCTGTCTCATACTAGGCCAGCAGTAAGTAAACCATGCCAGAAAATGGAGTTGTTTCAGCTGCCTGAAAACAACCTAGTGTATGATTAACAGAGACATCTAAAGAGCCATCCCTCCCGGCCCCCAACTTTCCACAGCCAACAACTCTCTGACACAGCAAGCAACACAAAATATCCATCCTCCTAACTTAACTACTGTCTCTTGAGGTTGGAGGAAGAGGCAACTTTGACCCAATTACCCACTCCCCATTTGCCTTAGATGACATGAAGTGCATTCCTACATGACAGTCAACAAATGCTTCTCCAGAGACATGGTGGGACCTGAGGGTCTGTCAGAGAAAGTGGGCCAACATTTATTTGCTCGGTATCTAGTAACGTAAGGCAAGCCCTGTTATATGCACTTGTTTAATCTGATTTCACAACAAGCCCATGAGATGGGTATTACCCTCATTTATCAGACGAGCAAACAAAGACTCAGAAAGATTAAGGCGATGCACAGCACGGTTGGTAGTAGCTACCTCTCCCCTATCCACCTTTCTTTTAATTTAGTTTCCCAACATATGTTCCTGTTATCTTGGTTGCTTTACAGACCAACAAATCTCCAGCCCACACAAAAGGAAGAGCAATACATATACCATATTCCCATTTTTGGATCAGTGTGCTCAGTTTCATTGGATCCTACCAGTAGACACATTAAATTCAGTGACAATAGTATTAAACTTTACTGTCAATCTACTATGTACTGCCAAGCCCACATGGATGAGACAGTAAACAGTAAAGGTGGATTATATTTTTTAAGTTAAAGCCGGACTGTTTACTCATTTGTTGAAAACAAATTTTCATACAGTGTGAACCCATTCCTGATTTCTTTTAAACAAGACTATTACGTTTTCAAAGTAAAATGGATGGAAATGTGCTGTTTTCTGCTGCCCGTCTCCCGGCTCCTTCTCTTCCACCCAGTGTGTGTATATTAAGGGTTTCTTCCTTCCAGAGATGCTCACAGCTGTTTCCCTTCCTCACTCTTGAGCTCTCTAGGGCAGCCTTCATTCTTCCACCCCAGCACACCTCCAGCCCCATGGAAACTCCCCCACGGCATGATTGCTTCCATACTTTTATGTGCTTTAAACAGAATACAGCTGAGAACTGCTTATTGATCCTGAGTGGGGAATCCTCTCTTACAAAGCAATTTGCAGTCGATGGAGGAATGTGGAGGCATCCTCTACTCCCTGCTCCCCACCTCCATGCCCACCCGCATGTTGACACCCTCCAAACCGGGCCCACCTGCCCCAGTGCCTCCTCTCCTAAGTATTTCTGATGAAGCTGACTTTTCTGTTTCTCAGACACTGATTACTTGAAATGCCGAATCACTCCACTTTAATCTTTATCTACTTTAGAGATTTTATTTTGAAACCGAAATACGGACAAGAGTCAGTTGCTCCCCAAGTGAAGTCCCAAGAAATACGGATTCATCAAAGGCTCATACCTTCTTCTACCCACAAAGCCACTCGGGGTTACTATTCCATTATAAGCATTTCCCACCACGAGTGAATAATAATGGAGATAATAATAAGACCTATCTATGGGGTTATTGTGAGGAATAAATGAAATAAACATCTAAAGGACCTGATAAACATCAGGCATTATAACAGCAAACCTTCTGCTTGGCCTGAACGCTTCAAAACGACATTTCCACTAGGTCAGTATTGTCCCACTCACTGATTTAATATGAAATTATGGTGTTTCATTTTTAAAATTGTCCTTTCAAAATGGGCTGACACATCGGTTGGCTTTAAATCAGCGGTTCTCAACCTGTGGGTCGCGACCCCTTTGGGGGTCGAACGACCCTTTCACAGGGGTCGCCTAAGACCATAGGAAAACACATATATAATTACATATTGTTTTTGTGATAATCACTATGCTTTAATTATGTTCAATTTGTAACAATGAAAATATATCCTGCATATCAGATATTTACATGACGATTCATAACAGTAGCAAAATTACAGTTATGAAGTAGCAATGAAAATAAATTTATGGTTGGGGGTCAGACATGATTAAAGGAAGGGAATAATTAGGAATAATCCTTGGGGCTCTTTTTTCTCACCAAAGAGCAGGTATACTTCCATGCTTTGCTTTATTTAGGACATTTCTAGAGTAATACCTGGAGTGTGGTATTTTTGTGATTGGAAATAACTCTGCCAATCATTCACAAACAACTACCTTCCATTCTCTTCATCCCAGCTCCTGCCTTTCCTTCCCAGGGTTTCCCATTACAGTGGGGCCTTGACTTACGAGTGTCCTGACTAAGGAGTTTTTTGAGATACCAGCTGTCTCTCCACCAATTTTTTGCATTGAGTTGATAGAGTAATTCGAGTTAATGAGCTCCTTAACGAGCTTGGTCTCGGAACGAATTAAACGCGTAAGTCAAGGCCCCACTGTAGTTCTCTACAGGAGATTTTCAACCATGGAAGCTCTATATTCCAAAAGGGAAAGGGAAAGGTGACTGGAACAGGACTAAACAGGAAGAGTGAACTATCTACAACCAGAGTTAATAGATACTCCCACTGGTTTCCATTTTCCTTCCTTAATTCATAACATTTCTATTGGAGCACTGATTATAGTTGAAATATAGTAATTAATATTTGCATAGCACTTCTCAGCATTTCTATAATGCATTTATCAAAATATTTAATTTAATCATCAAGACAATCCTATTGGATAAATTCTTATTCTTTCTATTGTACAAATTAGCAAATTGAGCTCAGTGCAATTAAGTGACTTGCCTAAAATCACACAGCCTAAGTCCTGGATTAGGGAAGAACAGAACCAAGCCCAGCTCGGACACTCTACTGTTTTGCTTGGCTTCGCGATAAAATGCAATGCCTACCCCGTGTTACTTGCTATGCCTACCCCAGAGCATTATAAATGAGGTCAGATTCCTTTTCTTATTCATCATTGTATTCCTGACAGCACTTACCATGCTTTGCTCCTCGTCAACACACAATGAAATTCAAAAAACTAAAAGTCTTTAAAGATCTGATATAATTACATGAAGCGAATTGTAAAGTGTGAAGCCTTACCTTGTAGAGTGTGCCCAGGTACACAGCACCCAGTGGAGCCAATTCCAAGTGTGGAATGCAAAGTCCAGTGCAGAAAGGTGGGCAGCTTGCAGCTCACCACCCCAAATCCCCAACCACGCCAGGAAGGAAGCGCTGCTTGACCAGGCACCAGTTTCAAATATTTACTCCCAGATGACTGAAGGTACCTAAGAACAGGTGATAATAATAATTAAAAGCAAAACCAAACAAAGCACCTGTAAGCCCTGAGCCCTGCCATTATCGCGCACTGGAATCACCCGACTGTAACTTATGAGAGGCTGCGATGGTAGAGTCTGTGCAAAGCAGGAACTGTCTGTGCCCTGGTTTCCTTGTCTGTAAAGGGAATGCTACTTGTACCTACTTCATCAGGTTGACATGAGGATTAAATGAATTAATACATTGAATGAGCTTAAAACAGGGCCCAGCACATGGAGTAAGAGTGTACTTATCATCGGTATTATTGAGGCTGCTACTGCTGTTAAAGATAGAGCAACATGGATATTTCAGGAGATAAAAGCAAAAAGTTGGCCAACCTCAACCAAATTCTAGGCCAAGCCACTTTGTTTTACTAACCTAGACTTAATGGCCACACCTGACACTCAGTGAAATAATTTGGTTAACTTTGCCCTTGAGTGGAACTGAAGCCTCAGAAGTCGTTTGATTTCGTTCTAAATCTCCAGTGGGTCTTCTGGATAAAGTGAAAGATTAAAAATGAAAACATCCCCTTTTCTTTTCTCTCTCTCCCTACTCTGTCTTCCGCCTGCTGGAGACCACTTCTCCAGGCCCATGAGCACTCTGCCTCTCCGATCTGTCACTCCCCTTCCCCTGCCAGTGTCTCCTATTTGTCCTTGGGTCTTTTATGCCTTTCCCTGTGACCATGAACCTCATTTATCACTCATTTCTCTGAATCCCTATGGCGCTCACCATCTGGCTTATATGGGTCCTTGCAATTTCCTGTATGTTAATCTTATTTCTCAGAGAGCAATGAACTCTGCAGAAGCAGGCCAGACACCTGGCCCGCCAGGTTAAACTGTGCTCTGAACTCCTGCTGCCCGCTACGTACAAAGGTACACAATTTCTCTGTCCTCCCAGGAAAAATTTTCAGTGCGTGTGATGGGTTGAGAAAATCTAGTCATGTATTACAAAAGACCTTCAAAAATGTAGACTAACATATGCCAGAATAACATAAACCAGACATTTATTTTAAAAAATATTTTCCTGGGTGCTAATTTTTATATTTTAAAAATTGATTTGAGAGAGAGCGAGAGCGAGAGAGAGAGAGAGAGAGAGATTTGTTGTTCCACTTATTTATGCACTTATTGGTTGCTTCTTGCATGTGCCCTGACTGGGGATCAAACCTGAAACCTTTGTGTATCGGGATGATGGGCTAATCAACTGAGCTACCCAGCCAGGGCCTTGGTGCTAATTTTAAACTCTCTTCTGTTGTCATAGAAGGTGCTGCTCCTTTGACATACAGGTTGGGGCAAAAGTAGGTTTACAGTTGTGAGTATGTGAAACAGTTTATCTTGTATTAATATTTATTAGTTATTGTATTATTTTCCATACAAATTACTGTAAACCTACTTTTGCACCACCCTGTATATCTTGAAAAGGAAGTTTTTCCTTCCCAGGTACTTGCAGGGTGCAGCCCACCCAATTTTGAAGCTAGTCTGACAAAAACCAATGTTTTTTCCAGGGATTTACACCATTATTTGCTTCTGCCTTTATTCCCTATTGAATACTGCCCTCCCTCATGGGCTGGCAGGCACTCTGCCTGAGCCTCAGCCCACTGTGCCATCCAGCCCGACTGTCCATTCCAGGCTCCCATGGCAGGGAAGCAGGGAACTGCCAGCCAAAAGGCTTCACTTTTCAGTGCTCTTAAGAGACAAGCTTAAGTTTGTTGAAGATTAACTCGTGGTGGGAAATGCTTATAATGGAATAGTAACCCCAAACCATAAAGTCGTGCCAGGCCTGACTATATGTTACTATCCTCTATTGATTGCTGCCATATTGATTCATTATGTTGGACCTTCTTGGATAGAAATGGCTTCAAGCAAGTCCGAATTCACTGGCCCCCTTGAGCCCTAGACATTGGTCATCTTTCTAGAAATGAGCTCCTGAGTCAGAGCTCACTCCAGCTTCCCGCCCTGTGCCGCCAGCCCCTGTAACCGAATCCCTGCCCAGCCTGGTGCCATTTCCTCTGAGACTGCACTTTCTAGAGTTTTCCTTCATGGGAATCAGAGTTCAAAAATAAATCTAAGGATGAAAAACCACACCGGTCCTTGCCATGTTACCTAGAGGCTCCCGCCTTAACATGACGCCAAGTGTACAGTCCTTTCACCGAGGTCCGGGAGCTGCCACTGGCTCATCAGAACAGGGCAACTTGGTACTATTCTCCCGCCCTCATTCCCCTGATGCTGTCATTTCCAACTAAGAGGGTTTTTATTCGGTGTGCCTGTTTGCCAAAACCTATATAAATCAGAATGTGCACTTTGCAAGACTTAGGTTTGATTAATCTTAAAAAATTTAGAAGCTGCATGAGTGGGGTTTGAGATTAAGTGTGCAAAGATGTTAGGATCAGCCTCCCCACCAGCCTTCAGATTGAGATGGATGAGGAGCAATACCAGGTTTGAGCTGCCCATAATTGAAAAAGTGTGTGCCCAAAATATCATATTTATCCCGCATTTCTCCGAGAGCCATAACTCTAAGGCCTTTCATTAGAACCTCGATAAAGTAAAAATGTCTTCAACTGTAAGGGTCCCAGACCCCCTGGGCATTCATGAATTGCTTAGAGAACAGGGTTAGGAATGCTGAGAATAAAAGGTATTGGGGAGGAAGAGGAGGGTGAATTCCCCAAAGGCAAATGGGCCCTAGGTTTCCCTGAGAAAGCAGCACAAACTGGAGAACAGCAGCATTTGTGAGCGAGTGACCAGTGGGAGTGTCAGTGTAAACCACCAGGATCCCATTGGCTGAGCTGTAGCAGCCACACGGTCCTCCCAGGGGCATCATGGATGCAGAGCTGTCAGGTGCCCAGCTCTGGGTCGGCACTCACACTCTGTGCTGTGTAAGTGGACATGGTTCCTGAGGTTGTGCATCTTGGTGGCTGTGAGCAGTGGAAGCCACTGGAGACCTAAATGTGGGCCCCAGGGGCAGGGTCACAGGTCTTCCGGCCCTTTCTCAGCCCCGAATCTGTGCCAGTGGTGTCGAAGCTGAGGGATGGCACTCTCGTGAGAATTCAGCAAACACCGAGCACGTGTCCTGTGCAGTTGTGTGCATGGCATTGTGGGGGATGCAAATATGCCTGAGAAACACTTAGCGATCTGAAGAAGCCTGTGGGGATGGGCTGCAATCTCTTACCTGGCCACGGCTCATGCCTGACCATGACTTTAATGTGCTGACGCCTGGGCTGCTGTTCGCTCCCTGACCACCCAACCCCATCCTTGTCCATTTCACCCACACCTGTTTGCTTAAGTCTGCTTGTTTTAAATGACATAATGCAGACCCCAAAATATAAACAACTATAGATTAGACGCTGGACTTCGAATCTCTCCAGAAAATTCACTTTGTTCTCTGCTCCCTTTGGAATACTCAGATGTTGACACTGAAAAGTTCTACTAGTGTTTTGTGTGAGTGTGTGTATGCATTCACACCCATCACCCGCATTCACACCCGTCACCCGCACACAAAAGATTCACAGCAGGCCCAGGGCTACAAAATAAACGTTCAATGTGAAACATAAACTTAAATATTAAAAAGTTGGCAAGCAGCGTAGCATGAGATTTTATTTTCATTGCAGGTCTGTGAATAAGGGTCATGCATAGTAACTAAATGGGCTGATTCTCCTTGTTTACTTCTTGAAGGTATAACGCGGGGGCTAAAGAAACAGTATTCACTGGCACAGTATTTTGACCACTTGTCGGAGCTGGTGGATTTGGTAACACAAAGAACTAAGGGGCAAATTCATAGACACGTGACCTGGCGTGAGGCTCACTGGAGGGCAGTTCCGAGCTATCAGCACATCAAGACTGCCTAGGCCTGTGCAGAGAGAGGCGGCACCCCAGGCGTCCCAAGGTCCTGTGTGAAGAGGTTTGGGGTGATTTATCTGAGTATTGATTTTAGAGAGAGAGAGAAAGGGAGAGAGATAAAAACATAGATGTGAGAAACATTGGTCAGTTGCCTGCCATATGCCCAAATAGGGACTGAACCCACAACCTGGGTATATACCCTGACCGGAAATCGAACTCGTAACCCTTTGATGCATGGAAGGACACTCCAACCAACTGAGCCAGGGCTCTGGGGTGATTCTGATAGAGGTGGCCAGGTGACCGTATGGAGAAACTGATAAGCTCAGTGAAAACTGCTGACCAATTGTGCATCTACATGAAGGGCACACAGGAGAGTTCACTGGACTTTTCTTGCAAGTTATTCAGAGGTTAAATTTGTATAAGATACAAAGTTAAATAAAACAAAAGACCCATCCTCTCACAGTATGCCGAATTCCCTCAAACACAAAAGCAACAGGACAAAGGGAGGGGTGTGGAATTCTCCCTCAGCCCTCACTTCTTGGCTCAGGCTGGGTCTATGTGTGCCTTGAAATTCTTCGACACTTGTTGAAAAGCCACATAGGGGATGCTTAGTCAGAAGTCTGGCCACTTCAGATCAGGCCGGATGACAGACTGACAGCACACACGGAGGGGTCCTTTTGTCCAGGACCCTCTGGAGGACAGAAGAAGGGCCTGCCAGACCCACAGGTGTGGACGCATCTCCCCCAGTGGGTGAGGAGCCGCACTCAGAAATTCTTCTCCTAGGCCTAAGCACCCAACATATGCGACTGATTAGAGCTAATATCTCATTTCTAATTCCATTGATTCCTCGGAAAGAGCAAGTCCCAGAGACCACGGCTATTCTTAGCAATTGCAGCTCCTCCCCCACCGCTCACTGACTCGGAGAGGAGGGGGAGAAGGTGGCCAGCAGGGACTGTCAGACGTTGGCAGCGAGGACTCGGCCCCCTCTGACTGTCGGTGGGGCACGGTGTCCAAAGCACACGCCTGCGGTCAGCGCAATACAAACCCACACATGGGTCTCTCCCGCCTCACGTCTTCCCCGTTTCCAAGCCACAGCTGTGGCAGAGCCACCATTAATAATGAGAAGGCTCCTCTCTGGGCCCAAGAGCTCTCTGACTTCCAAAACGCGTTCCTTCTCCTCAGCCCTTTAATCTTCCTGTGGTTTGGTAGGAAAGCTGCTCCATGGCCTTCCTTTCTGTTACCACAGGAAATAAAGAAAAGGCCTGGGTCTCATCCATCCAAATAAAGGATTCCAGTCCTCAGAGGGGATTTTTCAATGCAGACACAGTGCTATCCCAGGAGGCCCCTCAGCACAGCACTGAGAAAGGAGGGCCTTGCTCGGCCAGCCTGCGGAGCCCGTGGGGTTCCACCTGATGCCACGCTGGTTTCCCCTGTGGTGGCCTCAGGGAGTGTTTGTTAAGCTGAGCTGAATCAATCACCGGGAATCTCCCCTCTCCCCGAGCACTCTCCAGGTGTAGCCTGTTCTTGCCTGTGAGAGGCTCTGGTTTCACAGACCCCGCCTCAGACCCAGAACAAATGGCTGATGTCTGTTTCCAGCACTGCCACTGAGGGGCTGTGGGACTCAGGTAAGTCTACTGACTTCTCTGGGTCTCATTTTCTGCATGGGTGAGAACAAGAGCCTTGATCCCGAATTACTCAATGTTTTCTATGGTCTAAGGAGGTACGAATAAAAATCTGGGTCGATGCTGGTTTCCCCTTAAGTGAAATTTCCACCAACTTGCCAACGGCCCCTGTTCTTCTGGCTTTGAAAACAGACCAAGTTGAGTGTGACCTCATGGTTCATATTTTTTAGAAAAATGTTTTTATTGATTTTAGAGGAAAGGAAGGGAGAGGGAGAGAGAGAGAGACATTGATGAGAGAGAAAATCGACCAGGTGCCTCCTGCATGCCCTCCCTCCCCACCCCCCACACCTCAACTGGGAATGGAGCCTGCAACCCGGGCATGTGCCCTGATTGGGAATCGAACCAGTGACCTCTTTGTTCATGGGTCAATGCTCAACCACTGAGCCACACCGGCCAGGCAGTCATGGCTCATATTTATATAGCAAAAATCAGAGCCCCTCAAAGCTAGTGCTGGGGATAAAATAATGATAAATGGAAACTAACTTTATCATCCAAAAATACCCCCTCAAACTCTGAAGAAATATTGATAATAACTCTCCATCTGCTGAATAAATCAGAACAAGACTGGAGAGCCTACCCAACATTGTTTGAGTATGGAGGACAGCCAGTAAAGTACTAGAGTTTCATGAAAACTGATCTCAGGGGAACTGACATAAATAAAATATGTCAAAATTTTAAAGAGGAAAATGAAAATAAAAGCAATAGCAGAAGTGTTTTCTGTTTATTATCATCCTCATTGTAAAGAACCTTTTCAGAAAGGTCTAGGAATTCAGATGCTTGACTTTGAATCTAGTCTTTACCACTATTCCCACCTAAACTTAGGGAAATCATGTCACCTCTCTATACAGAGAACCTTGCTTGGTGACTGCGAGGCATAAATAACAAATGAAATAAAACATTTACAAATTCTGTGGTGTGGGGGGGGAGACAAGTGCCTAAAACTAAGGTGTTATGTGAATAAACCACATGGATAATTATAAATAATAGTGAAATAATGTCTCCAAATACTTCAGGAAAAGAGCTGTAACAGGCAGCAGCTGCTTTAGTGCGCCCCCTGCAGGTTGGCCCAGATGTTGGCACCAGGCTAGAGCCCAACATGAGGGAATCTGAGCTGAGCCTGGGCTAAGCAGTGAGACCTGTGGTGGGGATGAGTAAGGGGTGGGGTGGAGGGGTTGAGTGAGAAAGCTCAGTTTAGTCTTTACTGCCAAGATTCCTACAATGCTATTATTAAGCCCCAGATCTGCTGGACAGAGCCCAGGTTTTAGAAAGTGAGGCTGTTAGCTTTCCTGGCCTCTTGCTCTCTTCCATTTAAATACCCTGGAGGAGGACTCAGGTTCTCCCAAAGTCATCTCAAAGTGTGGGGTGGCCCAGGGTGACTGATGGTCCGTTGCTATTTGGGGTTGTTGTTCAGGTTAGGGGGCCTCCACCAGTTTGAAAAACTGTTGGCTTATATTTGGATTCTTGGTGCCTCCAGTGAATATCTATTATGTTCCCCACCCCCAAACAATGTAATAAATGTAGTCCACGGTCTAAATGACTAATCAACCGTATACATGGACCAAAATATCTTCTGGGGCTAAAGTAAGAACAGCTGTAATCACTGCAGTACATAGTTGGAAACTCAAACTGGGATAAGTCCAATAATTTATAGGTATCTCTGCATGTTTATGTGAAAATGATCAAATGCCAGGATTGCTAGCATGTACCGTATGACAAATAAAAATCATTCTTTTGCAGCAAGGGGGCTCTCTTAGATATCCTATCTGGGAAATAACTTAAAAATAAATGGCATAGAAAGTAGGGCACCCAATCCGAACTACATATAATAATCTTTGGGAATTCAGCACCACAAAAAAATTCTCATTTTTAAAAACGGTGTTTTCCAAATTTTTCATCTTCTTTATCCCTCTTTTTCCTGAGCTTCTGATGCTGATGAAATGCCCGAGGCTGCCGCTGCAGAGGCACACCACCACTGCTCTCAGGCCTCTGGGATGATGTGCGGGAGCATGGGAGTGTCAGAGATGGTGTCTGACTTTCTAATATTGATGCAGGGGTAAGGGGTTCCCAAAGAGAAAGAAAAGGATATTGAGTTATCACTTGGCTTTTCAGTCATGATATAGTCAATTTCCACAGATTTTAGGGGGTTGAGAAGAAAGCTGGGTTCTTGGAACAAAATTTTATTTCAAAAAAAATCATAGAATTTTAGTATTTGAGGACAATTTAAAGACCATTCTATTTTAGAGATGAAGAACTCTTCCCTAAAAGAGGTAAAGCGGCTGATTTAAAATGTATTAGTATCAGAACCATGACTTCCATTTCAAAAGATGTGTAAAGAGGCAAAATAATTGGAAGAGGAAGAGGCAAAGGAGGGAAATTATTGGTGAGAGGGAGAGGGAGAAGGAGAGGGAGAGGGAGAGAGGAAGAATAAAGAGAACCACAAGAGACTCGAGAAAAAGACAAGGCAGTCTTGTAAGAGGGCAGAAAGACAAAGTGGTTGTTGCACAATTATGAGAAAACACCATAATGTATGTCTAACAATATCCCATGCTTCCCTCTCTTGACTTGCTCTGTATTGAACCAACCCTCCAATTTACCAAATGGGCCATCTTGGAAGAATCCTGATTTCTGGGCAATCTGGAGCGTTGGAAAGCCGGCCACCAAATAGCTTTAACAAATAATCCTAATTTGGAAAATCAGTGCTTGGAAGAGATCTGAGAAATCATTTTTTCATTTTCTGTTTCGTGTGTTTTTCCCCTTCAGCCACACCTAAACCATTCCAGAGGGATGAAACTCCAGTGATTCTATTCACAGAAGGAGCTGACTGCCTTGAAGCATCTGGCCTGGTGCCCTCGTGTTGTCACAGCTCATAGCTCATCTTTCTCTATGCCCTGGGCAGCTGATCTGAATATAGAGTTTACATGAACTTCAAAGGAAGCTGGCAGGATGGAGTTGGGGCCTCGCTGCTTTAATCAAGATGGATTCAAAACCTTTGCTTATCAAGTAGAAAACTAAAACCAGCAATGGAGAACTAATTGACACTGACTAAAAAGGAAATGGCAATGGAAAGGTGCAGGGAGCTCAATAAGATTATATTTAAAGTGGTAATACTCTCCTAGCAGTTGATGATGGATTAAGTTTACCTCTTGCCTCCATAAATATTAGCGCATGGAATAAGATAGCCTCCTATAAGGTATCAGATGAGAAGTTCAGGAAAATGTGCAAAAGCTCAAAAACATTGTTTCCACATGCATGTCATGGTAATGATATTCCTCCCTCCTAGGGCCTGGGGCTGCCTGTTTAAGCTTCTTTAGCAAATTGTGGGAGCTGCACCCCTGGCCACGGCCCACAACTCTATACCTCAAGGGGACATCATTCAGCACTCCACCTGCCTCTTCTCTTCTCAGGCTCTAGTTCATATGGGGACCGTTCACATGAAATGCATCAAATGTTGACTTGGGTTCTGAGTTATTGTCCCCCAAGTTAGTCCCCTTGCAGGGAAACATGGAGTCTGGCACATAGTAGGTGCTCAAAGATGCTTGTTGAATAAATGAGGGAAAATAAGCTATTGTATCATTCCTGTAACCTGGCCCAGGCACCCAGCACCATGCTAAGCACAGAAATATATCTGAGCTTTGTTCATAACATAGATTGCCCTTGGAACATGATGGAGTCCCTATGGCTCAAGACTAAGGAATTCATTATGTTCTTTGCTGAGAGGACACTTGAGAGCCACTAGTAAGTCTTTCAATGCCAGAGCAGGAAGAAGAGTTGGGGCAGAAGGAAGGAGGACAGGGGAAGAGGTGCCTGGAGCCAGTCCTGGCCATGAATTTCTCATTAACTTTTTATGGATTTATTCTTTTTAAAATTCTCACCCGAGGATGTTTTTCCATTGATTTTTAAAGATATTGGAAGAGAGAGGGAAAGACAGAGAGAAATATTGATGTGAGAGAAACACATCGATTGGTTGCCTCCTACATGCACCCTGACCAGCGTCTGGGTCAGGGAGGTACATGCCCTTGGCCGAAATTGAACCTGTGACCCTTCGGTCCGCAGGCCAACACTCTATCCACTAAGCCAAACCAGCTAGGGCTGTTTTTTCTTTTAAGGTCTCTCCTTCTCAGACAAAGAAACATGACTTCTAGGACCTCTATTTCCCTCACTCTCTTATAGATATCAAAGGAGGAATTGGGTCAAAAAAATGGGACCCACAGAGAAATATAGGCACTAACAGATTGGGAGTTTTTACTTTTCCTTAGGGAATTTTTTCAAATTTCACAAACAAGAACATTGCCTCCTTCCCCTGATCTGCTTCTGCTATACAGTTTTCTCCAAGCCCAAGTGTGGCCCAGGGGCAGGTAGAGGAATACACTGGGACTGCCCCTGATATTTTAAGAGGAAAAGGAGAGGGAAAAGAAGAAAACTAGAGAGAACTAATAAAAGCCAAATCTCTTGTGAAGCATGTATAGTATTTTTAAAAATAGTTTTCAAAGGAGATCTATAAGTGGTCACTAAGCACACGAAAAGATGCTCAACATCTTAGTCATTAGGGAAATGCAAATCAGAACACCACCTCACACTCACTAGGAAGGCTAAAAAAACAAACAGATAGTAACAAGTGTTGATGGGGAGGATCTGAAGAAACTGGAACCCTTGTATTTTGCTAGTTGAAGTATAAAATGGTGTAGCTTCTTTGGAAAACAGTTTGGCAGTTTCTTTAAAAATTAAACATAGCCTTACATGATCCAGAAATTCTACTAAGTATATACTCAAGAGAATTGAAAACATATGTACACATAAAAAGTCATACACAAATGTTCATAGATGTATTATTCATAATAATCAAAAGGTAGATACAATCCAAATGTTCTTTAACTGATAAAATGCTCTATATCCACACAATGGAATATTATTCAGCCATCAATGGAATGAAGTACTAATACATGCTATAACATGGATGAACCTTAAAACCATGATAAGTGAAAGAAGTCAGATACAAAAGTTCACATATTGTATGATTCACTTATATGAAATGTCCAGACTAGAAAAACACAGAGGCACAGAAAGTAGACTAGTGGTTGCCAGGGGTTGGGTGGAGGGGATAATGCGGAGTGACTGCTAATAGGTCAGGGCTTCTTTCAGGAGTAAAGAAAATGTTCTAGAATCAGATAGTGGTAATAGATGCACAACCTTTTGAATATATTAAAAACCACTAAATTGAACATTTTAAAAGGGTAAACTGTATGTAAGCTTTATATAAAAAAAAACATTTAAAGGAAGAAGAATTTGATATTGCTCAAAAACCCTAATTCTAGGGCCTTGCCAGAAACTCTAATCCCTTCTTGAAAAGTTTTTCTAGTTTACAGAGTGCCAGCCTCCTCCCCCTTACCCACAACTCCCACTGCCCCACAGCCCAGATCCACAATCCCTAAAGAAATAACTAGGAGGAGAGACGTCCATCAGCAGCTGGAGGTGAACTGAGACACACTTGACACTTGCAGACATTCTCTGCAAGAGGGTGGGAGGAGGGTGGACAGAGGAATGAGAATAAAGAGAGATGAGCTGCCAGATCCTGAGAAGAGATCGCGTGCTGAACATGAAAGGAAGGCATGATGTCTTCAGAGAGGCCTCTTGAAACCCTTCCCAAGTGTTGACTATCTGCTAGTGTGGCCAACATAATCTGCTTTAGACAAAATCATGATTTGACCGGAAGATGGGAGGTCAACTCTGAGCAAATGCCAGGCTTGTCTGCCTGCTGTGCTCCTCCCTGGGTTCCCACTTTGCTGGCCTAATCTCTCCCCCGGCTCAGGACTTCCAGTTCGCCGCCCTCAATCCCCTTCTCTCTCTTGGATGTGTGACAGCCTCTGAAGGGATGTCAGTGTACTACATGATTAGTTGCTTATTTAACCACTTACAAAGTCAATTCTAAAAAACCAAATTCATATCTTTAGAAGACGCTGAGGAACCAACTATTTTTTTAAAAAAAAATAACATTTATCCTGCCTTTCTTAAGCAAACTGTACTACCAAAAAAAAACAAACAACACCCAAAAACTATATGGGTACTGAATTAGAATATTTCTTCAAATTCATGAAGAAAGAATAATAGAATTGAATCTTAATGAATTAAGAAAGAGTATTGGACATCAATAGCTACTAATATCACAAAAAAGAGAGACATTGAGACCTGCATGCCTCCTGATAAAGAACACATCACTCACAAGGTTGTCATGCCAGAAAACAAAACACCAAAAACAAAAAGCCCTGAATTAGGATAAGTGGAAACATAGAGACTAGAGGAACAGACTAAACTTTGTTCTGGGGAAGCAACCAGCAACCTCCAGGCTGCAGGAAACTGCAGATAAGTGATCCCACGTCTTCAATAAATGAATTGTAAGAAAAATAAGGAGATAGAGGAAAAAAACCTATGGATCAAAAGATGCTTAAGAGATTTTTTAAAAAAAAATGCAGGCAAAAACCTATGTACACTTAGGTGATAAGACTGTAAAGAAAAGTGGGAAGTGGTTGCAATTAAACTTAAGATAGTGGTTACTCTAGCAGGGAGGGAGGGGCAGTGGTTGAGAAGGGGGCCCATAGGGGCTTCCAGGGTGACTGGAAGAATTCTCTTCTCATGGGTTGTGTTTACAAGAGAGCTAGCCTTAAACAATTATTTAACCCTGCACATTTGCTTTTCATGGTTCTCTGTAACTTACATTATAACAATAAAAAGTTATAACTATAGCCTGGTCGGTGTGGCTCAGTGGTTGAGTGTCAACCTGTGAACCCAGGAGGTCACAGTTCGATTCCCAGTCAGGGCATATACTGGGGTTGTGGGTTCAATGGCTAGTGTGGGGCGTGCAGGAGTCAGCTGATCAATGATTCTCTCATCATTGATGTTTCTATCTCTCTCTCCCTCTCCCTTCCTCTTTGAAATCAATAAAAATATATATTAAAAAGTTAAAACTATAAAAAAGTTTCTAAAGTAAAAATTAAATTATTTAAATAATCAGCTATAATGAAAAGAAAACCCAAGAAATGGAGAGGAAAATATTAAGAACAAGAGAGAAAAAGGATCACATTCATGACCACAAAGAACTTTTTATAGCAAAAACAGACCCATTTCTTTACCACAAGGATGATTCTTGGTGTCACCTAGGGCTTTTCCCTCTTTAAAATGCACAATGAATTTAGCCACCTGTGTCTCTGGCAATGGAATTAAGGCCGCAGGGGGACAGTACATGTGTGTTGGGGGAATGGGAACATCTTGAGACCACGGCTTGGCAAAGGCCTGGGTGGCAGCACGGGAAGCATGGGGCACAGTGTCTGCACTGACCCCCGTCAGGGAGACACCAGCATCCCTGGGAGCAGCTGGAGGTCAGGACCCATGCAGGGAGATGTCAGCCGTGTCACAGCCTTGGGGGCAGAAGAGTGAGGCCTCTGTGTCTGCCTGTCCACATGTCTGTCAGCGTAACATTTTGGGTCAATAAATATTCATCAGGATGCACCATTTCAGCTGACCTACGCCAGCCCCTCTGCTGGAGGAGAAAATAAACAGGGCTTGTGGATGCAGAGGACTTCTGCCCCCTCGGAGCTGCCGCTGTGCTCGGTGTGTGCGCCAGGAGCTCAGATACACTTTTGTCTCCTTGCGCCCCTTGGACCTTGTGCATGTATTATCTGGCATGGACCCAACACCTTCCCTGTGTGTTAAATGGTCATAGAGTGCCATCAACATGTCAACTCTGAGAGAATAATGCTCAAGGAGAGGTTACTTAGTTCATCAATGCGCAACTCTCTCTGTAACCTGCCAGGGGGAGGGTCCCCCAGCCCAGTTTCTTTCTTCCTCCTCTGTGCCCCTGACATTTATTTCCATGCATCTGTTTTGGCTTTTGCGCTCATTGCTTTCGTCTATGTCTCTGTCTCCACTGCTAGACTGGGAGCCATTTATTGTGCAATTCTTATGTGCAAAGCATTATGCTAGATGAAGTGGCAAGCAAAATAGTACCGACCTCCTAGAGCTAAGGGACAGATAGGTAACAAACATACAAATAAATGCATAATTTCACATTTTGTGAGTGCTAAGAAAGAAGAGAAAAAGGTAGGATGAGTGATTACATAGGGGCATCAGTTTGATATTGCCAAATCAGGCAAGGCTTTAGTGTGAAAGAATAAGTAGAGATTGGCCAGGAAAGAGTGTTGC